ACACACACACACACACACACACACACACACACACACACATTTCTAAAACCGATGCAGAAAATTATGAAGAAAATTAGAATACTAGAAAATTCTGCCAATTTGGCTGAAGTTTCAGTATGAGCCAAGTAAACACTAAAAACTAAACCTTCATCAGTTTCTGCATAAGCCAACTGATAATTTCTGGAAGAGACTCCCAACAATTGCAGCAGAATTTAAGCAGTGTTTAATTCTACAATGTCTGAACAGTTAAGTCGCTGTTCTGCTTTGCTAATATAAATGCTATCATATGAATTGAGAGTTAGGGCTAATAACCCTTGTTTACATTTCTCACTATGCCTGATCTCCTCTGTTTGCTGCAGGTGTTCTCTGTGCATGCAATGTGTTCGCAGTCAGGAACTTGGAACGCGAGAAAGGGATTAAGGTCATGGGTAGCACGGGTGAAGTTATTGGAATGTCTCAAGTGGCAGGGAAAAAAGTAAGTGAAGGAACACATGTTTGCCCTGGCTTGGTTTCCCCTGTTCTGTTCCATTTGAACGAAACACTTCTAGGCTCAAATAAATTAAATCATCAGAGGGATATTAGCCATTTACAAGGAAAGCCTATCAAAAGCTATTATGACAGCTATGCATAATAATTTCTATTAAAGGAAGCAATAGATAGTTTGAGCTACTGGAAATAGAAGTGGAAAAATGTGATTATGCTTTTGTCCTGCTTGTGGGTTTTGATTTGGCTCTTGGAGTAAACAGGCTTTTGATCTGATCCAGCAGGATTATTATTTTTTTTGTTCTAAATTTCTGTATTTTATATTTACATTTAGTGGCATTCTCCCAATTACTTATTTACCAGAATTTCCTTATGCATTTGGTGTGTTTCTCCCCCCAAAGGGGAAAATTTTGGTTTGGCCCTTTGTTTTATGGGGCTTCCCAGGCTCTATAATCATAATGTAAGACTAATTGCTTTGATTGTAGTTGTCCATTTGTTAAGTTCATACTGGCTTTGAAATCTGGATTGTCTTGTATTGTGATTTTTTTCCCCATTTAGTTCCAAAGTCATTGTTTCCTTATATTATACTATGTTTGTGACATATAGCTCATCTAATGGAAACACATATTCTGGTAGCCCTCATTATGAAAAAAAAGGTGGCCTCAGCAGCATTTTAGTGGATTTATATTTAGGATAAAACTGGTTCTTTAACATTGATATGAGAGTCGAGGTGGCGCAGTGGTTAGGGTGCAGTACTGCAGGCCACTTTAGCTGACTGTGATCTGCAGTTCAGCGGTTCAAAACTCACCGGCTCAAGGT